CACTAAGAAAACAAATGTCCATTTCATGAGAATGGGTTAGGTCTCAGGACTGGATCAGTTTCCATGTAGGCAGGTTGTCACATAGTGAGACCACCATACGACCAGCCTCTTTTGTACCAGCCTACTCTCACGTGTGTTTCTGGTAAGTGAAGCCATCTGACATGTTATGACAAGGCAGGAGGTCTTTGCTGGACGTACACACCCCATCTTGAACTTCCCAGCCTCAGTGACCTAAATGAATCTTTTCTTTATAAAGTCCCTAAGCTCAGGTATTTTGTTATAGAAACACAAATAGACTAAGACATGCGGTATTGCGCCTCTCATCACCACCATCTCTTCTTCATGAGGGCCCTCATCACTTCCTTTCAGCTCAAGGCTCCTGGAGCCTCTAGGCCTTTATGCCTGATATTCCCTCTCCAGGAACACTCACTTCCCTCCTCTTCACCTGGCTATGTCCTGCTCCTCTTCTGGGTGCACTGCTGGTGGAATTCTAGATGTTGGTTCTCACAAGCTTTACATTTCTTTGCAAGTAGAAAATAGGCTGCTAGAAAAGCTCCCCCACGCTACTAACTTTCCCAGGCCTCCTGAAGTTCAGACCAAGGCAGTTTGTCCCCCTATTAGCACTAGCTGGGACCTCCAGACACCCAATGTCAGAATGCCCCTTACCAACCACCCTGGAACTCCAGAAACAGGCTCAATCTGAGGAGAAGCTCCCAGCAGTCTTCCATCTTATAGCCCAAGTCAAGAAGCACAGCTGTAACATGCTAAAGCATGATTTTGACCTTCTAGTAGGGTTAAAAAATCCGTGACTGTAAAAATAACATTTTTTTTTAAAAAACCTCCTTGTTATTTTCAAATGTAAATTAAGTCCAATTAGAGTAGATTCAGGCATTACAAAACATTTCCATTGCATCTAGTTTTTTGATTGCCATTTTAGTCAGTGTCTTGATTGAGCCCTGAAATTCCAGGCTTTGGCTCTCTATGAAGTGACTGCCACAACAGAGAGCCATGCCTGGCTCCCACTGGTGCAGAATAGACACTTGTGAGAGGACTCTTAAGCCTCCCATGCCACTGAACTATGCATGGCAGGTCACAGGCAAGGAGCTGCATGGACTGGTCTAATGCAGAAGAAAGCCTGGTTTGGAGCCAGTCTTCTGCGGCTCCTAAGATATGTGGTAACCTTTGAGATGAAAAGAGGTTTAGAAGTGCAAATGACTGTCAATATGAATATTAATAGCAGAACTATTAATAACTGAAGTTGTGTGCCAGACACTTGACTCTTGATTAAAAGAACTGAAGTTCAAGCCAAACCCAAAGACTTCTCTGCTCAGAGCCAACAGATCTACTGAAGACCTTGTCCCAGCGGGAGCAGAGAATGTTCTAAATGTCTTACTAAAGAAGTCTGAATAAAATCAGGCCAAAGTCAGCAGAGCCCTGACCAGGTCAATGTGAGATTTCTTGAGGTAGTAAGCTTGATTCTTTCTCCCAGAGCCCTGCATGTTGTCTGGTTCACAGAACGTATGCAATCCATGCTTCCAATTAAGACAGAAACGAGTGAATAAATGAGAGAGGAGGGAGAAATTTGGAGTTGAAACTTAAAGTGTAAACAGGAAAACAAAGATTCCAACACTCATCTGGGCTCTGCCTGCTATACAGCATAAAATATTCAGGACTTTTTAAAAGTAAAATCACCTAATGGAACAGTTCTATAAACTGTGAATTCGTCAAAGACTTCATATTTTTAAAAAGTGCCCTTGCTGCTGCTATCATTACAAAGATTTGAAACTAAAATGAATAGCAGCTGTCCTGCCAAACAAACAGTCTGTCTATGACCAAATCTTATAACTTCAAGGCTCAAATACACTAGGTTAAATTCTACTTCTTCAATCATGAATGTACTTTTCAGCATTAGAAATTATCCCTTTCACATTTTTAAATGCTGGGGCTTCTGCCTGACTAATGCCATCTTTAATTATACATAATCGAGTATTTTACTGTGATCTAATGGGGTCTATTACTCATCAAAATGGCACCAGTCAGCAATAATATTCCCCAGAGCCAATTACTCAACCTTCTTTCATTCTTCAGAAGCAGCAGCTGCACGTGCAGAAATCTATATACAGCTTGAGCTATAGCATCTTGCCAATTTGTCCAAAACTGATGAAAAGTGTAAAAAAAAAACCCTCAATATCATAGCTTGCAGTAAACTCTTGGATGGCAGCATTAATGTGGGTTGATGGAGCTATGACTTCATGCTGGTGCTGCAGGCAGGTACCTTTGGATCCCATCACATACCGCACAGGTGGGAGGGCCAAGCATTTCACACAGGAAGAAGCAGATCCTCTTTTGTTTTTTTGGGGGGGGGAGGGCAGTCCGGTCATAGGGCTTGAACTCTGGGCCTGGGCACTGTCCCTCAGCTCTTCAGCTCAAGGCTAGCACTCTACCACTTGAGCCACAGCACCACTTACGGCTTTTTTCCTTTTTTGCTTATGTGGTGCTGAGGAATCGAACCTAGGATCTCATGCATGCAAGGCAAGCGCTCTACCACTGAGCCACCTTCCCAGCCCACAGATCCTCTTAAGGTCAGCATATGCCCAAGTCTTAAAACATGCAGGTAGAAGAGGTAGAATTCTACCCCCCATGACAATATATTAAATCTCTAACATGTAAAGCCAGAATACCCACACAAAAGAAGATGGTGAGGACACATTGAAGACCCAGCCACAGAGTCTTTTCCTTAGCTTGGATCCCACATTAATCCTGGTCTACAGTCCACTTCATTATTTGTTTGTGCCTGTACTGGGGATTGAACTCAGGGCCTCACACACTTCCTTGGCTTTTTCACTCAAGGGCTGACCACAGTTCCATTTCTGTCTTTTCACTTGTTAAATGGAGAAATGAGTCTAACAGACTTTTCTACTCATCTGGTTTGCAACCAGGATCCTCAGATCTTAGGGTCTGTATATATATATAACCTGTATATATATATATACATATATATATATATATATATATATATATATATATATATATAACCTGTAAGCATAGCTTACAGGTTATATAAACCACCAACTCCTGGCTACAGTCTATTTTGATGGGAAGACTGAGTGATCATAAGTAAACCCAAAGCTCAGCAAAAGTTGACTCATCCCTAAAACTATCATCAAAAGAGACAAACTGCAAAGCCAAGAAATAATCACAAATACAGTTATAAAAATTTTAAGTGTAAGGTCCACTCCTGGAAAGTGGGTGGACTCCTCCCTCTTCTCTGCCAAGTCTCCACCCAGTACCTGAGTTACCTAGGCAACTGGCACACCTAGAGGAGAACTCTACCAGAGCCAATCTAGCCACACCCTTCTCCCACGTGGCCCCACCTCCCCTTAACTGGCAACACCTTCTCCCCACTTCCCCCAGCCCCCCACCCTAGATAAGGCAAGGCCGGGGCCAGACTTCCCTTTTCCAGCCCTGTGGAGTGCCAACTTGGCCTGGGGCCAGCCAGTCCGGTGATTAAACCTATCCCTTACTTGAATACCACGTGCATGGTGTTCTCTTTACTCGCAGCCTCTTTAATTACCTAACAATAAGTATATCTGTGAATATGTACGTACACATACATGAATTACACATATATATGCATGCATACTGACGTGTTAGTGATAGAATGAAGGATGAAACAGTTGGACTTCAATTCTGGACCTTTTAGCTCAACAACTGTTTATTCGCTTCTGAGTATTTACAAGAGAAATTTAAATTAATAAAGCAAGTCCTAGAAGCAGGATATACTAGAAGGTTATTTGATGGACCACAGACCAATAAATCATTTTGGAAACAAACGGGGATCAATAGTGAATCATGAGACCTTGATATGCCCCTCTTGAATAATTGACGAGGCATCTTGTTTGGACCATTTACAGTACTATGCTTAGCATTCCATTTAGCACTGCAAAATAATTCACTCAAGTGTTGGCTTCTTATCAGATCTGTTGACCAAGCAGCAGATGGCAAAGAATACACACAGATCTACTGTTTCTTTGGTATACAAACAGCACACTGGAGTTACTATTTAAGAGCTACCCTTTATTCTGTCCTAGTGATAGGAAGGCACATAGACCCAGTACTCTGCCACAGCATACAAGTTTCCCTGGTGTTTTTCTAACAAACAAAGCTGCCCTGGATCCCCGCTCTTTTCTTCAATCAAGCCTCTTAACAGCAACTAAAGGAAGATTGGGATTCTACGAAGGAAGCATTCTGGCTTCCTCTAGGGGCCTGCAGGAGGGTGCTAGCCCACACCTCTTGTAGGGATGAAGAAGAATCTCATTGTGTGACCAATTGCAGGGTCCCTAAGAAGGAAGAGAGTGGGGAGGAGAAAGAACTTGTTGGGACAGTGGTGGGAGGTGAGAGTCTTTGTTAGGAGCATCCTAGAAGTCATTGGGCTTGGGAGAGAAGGCAAAGGAAAGCCTCTAGAAGGACAAGAAATCCAAACACTCACTTCTGGATGAAGCTCCCACCAAAGTACATGACCGCATGTCAGGGAAGGGGATGGCAAATGAATAGCAAAGGAGAGGAAAGCAAACAAAAAAGAGAGAGAAAGAGAGGAGGGAGAGGAGAGCAAAAAGAGAAAAAGGTATGGAGGAGATGGAAGAGAAGAGTAGTAGTAGATAAAAGAACACCCATAATTTGGAGAAGGGAGAATTGCAGAGAGAGAGGAGAGGGAGGGAGGGAAGGAAGGAGGGAAGGAGGGAGGGAGGGAGGGAAGGAAGGAGGAAGAGAGAACAGAAACTGGGCATAGTGGCACACACCTGTAACCCCAGCTATTGGCCCATAGAAGCAGATTCTTTTTAAGCATCAGGCCAACCCAAGCAAAGGCAGTAGCAAGACTCTGTCTCAAAAAGATGAAATAAAATAGAAAGAAAAAGAAAAGGATTGAAGGGTCAAATGTTGTTCCTGTGGTAGAGCACTACCCAAACAAATATAAAACCCTGTGTTTAAATGATATTAAGGTGCTAACTTTGCCAATATAAACACTAAAACCAGAATGATTTAGGAAAGATCCGCATAGCCCCCACACAAGGATGACATGAAATTTGTGAAGCATTGCAATTTTTTTTAAGATATTAAGATGTAGAACTTGCAAGGTCTTCCAGTGCAGGCCACACACATCTTTCCCTGGGGTCCCATCACCCCACTTAGCTGCCTCAAGCTAATGGAGGTAGCAAAGGAGTGGTTGAGCCCCTGTGTGTCGTCAGCAGGTTTCCTGGGTGCTACACAGCCAGGAAACAACTGGTTCTTTCTTCTGCCACTGGACATTTGTGTGGCACGTGGCTTACCACACACTGGAAGCCTCTTGGCACAGAAACGATGCAAACACTCAATACAAATAGGCCTACAGTGCTTACAAGTGACATTATTTCATTATTTTCACTTGAGATCTTGCCTTCTTTTGGGGAACAGTCTCTCTCTGGGACCAAAGTAACTGGACTCATGCCTTTTGCCTGACTCCGAGTCTATTCTAAGAGCAGCCAGAGCAAACTGTCCAATAAATATGAGCCCCAACTATAATAGCCATTATTAAGGTTTGTCCCTTCTAATCATTGTTTTGGAAAACTAAGATTCTTTCCCAGTTGCTGGTGGCTAAGGCCTATAAGCCTAGCCACTCAGGAGGCTGAGAGTTCTAAGGATCACAGGTCAAAACCAGCCCAGGCAATAAAGTCCATGAGACTCTCATCTTCAATTAACCAGACAAAAAGCCAGAAGTGGAGCTGTAGTTCAAGTGGTAGAGTATCAGTATTGATCAAAAAAGCTACAGGATAATTCTCAGGCTCTGAGTTCAAGTCCCAGCACTGGAACGACAGGAAAAAAAGAAAGAGAGAAGGGAAAGTGGAAGAAAATTAAGGGTTTTCTTGATTGATTGTATGTTTGCCAGTCCTAAGGCCTCGATCTCAGGCCTGGGCCCTGTCCCTGAGCTTCTTTTGCTCAAGGCTAGCACTCTACTACTTAAGCCACAGCGCCACTTCCAGCTCCTCCGGTATATCTGGTACTGGGGGATCGAACCCAGGGCTTCATGCATGCAAGGCAAATGCTCTACCACTAAGCCACATTCCCAGCTGAAAATTAAGGTTTAAGAACAGTAATAATAACAACAGCTCACACTTGTTCCAACAGTCCACATTCTTGCTCCACTGAGAGTGTTTTCTCATCTCTTTTCACCAATGAGCTATCTCTGCCCGTGGCATCTTAGAAGTGAATGTTCTCTGTAGGATCCACCTTGCATATGAGGACACTGCAGCCCAGAGGCCTCGTTATCACATCCAGTGACTTACCTAGAGAGGCACACAAAGGGTATGTGAAGGGGAAGCATAAGCCAGGCATTGGACCCCCAAGGATCCACACTTTCCATGACCTTCCCACACAAATACTACCCTTCTTCCCAACCAGCTTCTCAGTCTATGGAAACATCAGCACTGACCACCACATTCCTGGGCCCAAGAGAACTAGCACTTTGACTGAGTTCTGCTTGGTAACACAGGACAGGCTTCATGGACAGCTTGGTCCTAATCAATAAACTTACAAACCTGGGACCAAAACACAAAACAAACAACAACAAAAAAGAGCCAAGATCTGGAAAACTACAGCACAAGAGTTCTAGGGGTCTTCACATAGTTGATGAACACATAGGAAGGCACAGAGAGTTGTTCAGCCATGTACCTAAAAAGTGCTGTTCCCCAAGGAACAGTCTAGTAGGTGAAGGATACCTAAAGGACACAGCCCTGCACCAATCACCATGGGCTTCTCTACAACATCTTGCAGAAGGAGAACGCTATAGTCTTCAGGAGATAGTCCAGTGGTGTTTCTCAGAAGGAACAGCCTAGTGAGGGGAATGTCAGGGCAGGCAGGTTTCTTGGTGGCAATGTGGCAGGTGGAGCAGGACTATGGAACCGCATGCCTGGTACAAGATCTGGCTGACTTATGAAGAGCTAAGATAGCCAATGACAACCAAACAACATTTGAAGGCAATGGCCTAGCCATCAGCACAGGTCAGCTAGAATAAGTGCAGTCAGGAAGGAGTATGGGGTCCAGGCATGGTGTAGTTTCAGAAGATGCAGAAAGGAAGGCATTCACTATACCAGAACTTGGGGACATAGACTGAGCCACTAAGGAAAAACTCTCCGACACCAGTATCTGATCAGGCCTCAGCACTTCGTTCTGCAAGGGGCCCCGAATGACCTGGAGCTCCCTGATTATCTTGTACTTTACCTGCTGGATCTAGGAACTGAAATGTGGGGCCCCCTACCTGAGGTCAGTACTGGTTGTGCCCACTCCTGAGCTCTTCAGGGCCTACCTATGTCAACCTCAAACCCCCCAATTCTGAGGAGAAAAGGTGTAGGATAGGCCTGCCTTAGCCATGTTCCTCTGTGGTTCAGATTCTACCCAGGCACCTGAGTCATTCAAATTCAGCCATAAAGGTAGTTGTGGCTCAGATGTGTAACAGGAACTGCAGATCATACAAAGGAGGCAAGCTGAAACCAGCTTATCATTCATAGGTCATAGGGACCCAAATCTCTCTTAATCTATCTTGCCCTGTTTCATCTCTAACCAAATCTAAAATGCTTTCTTACACTTGTTATTAGGGTTCAAAAATTAAAGCAGTAAATTTTCTTTTTATATACATTTTTATTGTAAAGATACTGTACAGAGGGGTTACAGTTACATGCGCAAGGTAATGAGTCCATTTCCTATGGAGCATTGTTACCCCCTCCTTTGTTTTTCCCTTACCATCCCTTTCCTCCCCATCTCCCCAACCCTTCCCTCCTAATCCCCCCCCAAAGTTGTAAAGTTCTTTTTCAACATACTGTCTTGTACATCTCATTGTTACAATGGGTCACCCTGTATCCTTTTTTCAGCATTTTAAAACAGTAAATTTTCAATCACTGGCATCCAAACATGATATGCTTCCCTTATTTCGCCCAATGACATGATCCAGCCCTCACCCATCTGAAAAAAAAAAATCCTCAGCACATACAAAGCCCAAGTGTCAACATTTGTAACAGGAAGGAAATAGGAGTTAGAAGACAAATGGGAAGAAGCAGTGGGAAAATGAAGTCTGCTAGCTATGACATAAGGCAGTTTTGTGGGTTTTTTAAAATAGCTTTCTACATTTATGTATTTTCCCCAGCTGTACTGAAGTGTAATTGACAATAAAAACTGGATATAGTTAAGGTATACAACATGATGATACTGTGAAACTATTACCACAATCAAGATAGTTACCACATTCATAGCCTCACATAATTTTTTGTTGCATGTGGCAAGAATACTAAAGTGTGTTTTATAGCAACTTTCCAGTGCAAGGTATGTTATTGTTAATTTTAATACCAGGCTGTACATTAAATTTCCATAACTTCTTCATCTTAGAGTTGCAAGTTTCTACTGTTTGGCTACATCTTTCAAATCCAGCACCCTTTAGCCCCTGGTAACCACAGCTCTTCTCTCTGCTTCTATGAGTTTGACTTCTTTGGAAGTAAGAGACAGGGTAGTATCTGTCTTTCTTTGTCTGACCTACTTCCTTTAGCTTTGTGTCCCTAGGTGGTTCATCCATGCTGTTACACATGGCACAGTTTCCCTCTTTGTTAAAGCAGACAAGATTCCATTGCATACAATTTCCCTATCCCCTGGTAGACAGGTGGACTGATTCCATGTCTTAGTTATTGTGATAACTACTGCAGTAACAAGTATACACAGTATTTATTTAGGGTTCTGATTTCTTTGAGACTTAAGGTAGTTTTTATCCAAACTTTAGTCATTCGTGTGTCTCCTCTTCACAGTATTCACTTCATATCTTTAAACAGACTCCCTTTTTATTAAGGTATTTTTCTTAGTCAAACTGTGCTATGATTTTCTAAATGCATCCCTCAAAATAAAAAATGACCATTAAAACAAACACAGACATTAATATAAAACATATTCTCCAGATGCTGCCTAGACCATCTGGCATGTCTCTGCCATGTGTCTCAGGTCTCTACCAGGAACACCAGCACCCCAGAGTTCCTACTCCTTTGCATCCTATGCAGGGCCTTTCTCTAGCAGCTGGAATGACAGCTTCAAGTTACGGACATCCAAGTAGAGGATCTCTACACTGCCTCTGTCGACACTGTAATTGTCATCTTGAAACCAGGCATCCTTAAACATTCCTCCAGCTGACAGAATGTTTCCCATTTAAGTTTAAAGAGTTAACATGTCTGCCAAGCATTGGTGGCTCACATCCTAGCTACTCAGGAGGCTAAGACCTGAGGATAGCAGTTCAAAACCAACTTAGATAGAAAAGTCCATGAGACTCTTGTCTCTAATAAGCCAGCAAAAATCTGGAAATAGAGCTGTGGCTCAAGTGGTAGAGCACCAACCTTGAATATAAGGGACTCTGAGTTTAAGCCTCAATAATGGCACACACATACAAATAAGAGTAACACATTCCACTATGGTAGCAACTTTTCTCCATTATCTACTGACAAGCTGACAGCACTTTCTTCACAACATTCCCAGTTCCCTGAAAGGAAAGGCTAACAGAAAAAAACCCTAGATATTCAACATCACTATCCACCAAAATCACCATAAGACATCACCTCACCCCAGTCAGAGTAGCTATCATAAAAACAAAAACAAAAACAGTATTCTGGTAAGAATATTTAGGAACAAAAACTCTTACATATTGTTGGTAGAAATGTGAGTTAGTATAGCCACTATGAGAAATAGTAAATGGAGTTTCCTTTAAAAAAAAGAACTAAAAATAGAAATGCCATGTGCATGACTGAATCATATACACATTGCTAGCCATCCCACCCCCGGGTACAGATCCAAAGGAAATTAAATCAATATGTGGAAGAGACATGCACTCCCAAGTTTATTGCAACACTATTCACAGTGGCCAAGATAATCAATCTAAGTATCCATCAACATATGAATGGATAAAGAAAATGTGGTATATTGACATATGGAATACTGATTCAGTCATAAAAAAGGACCAAAGTCTTGTCACTTGGGGCAGCATGCATAGTAAAATTAAAATGAAATAAGCCAAACACACAAATAACACATGATCTCATTCATATGTG